TGCTTTAAAGTATTTATAAATGCAGCTGTTGTTTTGAGATGCATATATTTTTGGATTTACGAAAAGATTTGATCACAGAAATGATCAAAAAGATAAGTGCTTATTGATATAATTCTGCTTAATGTAAAACTTCGATCTGATTATATCAAATTTGGTAAAAATGGATATGTGATAAATTTTTCACTGAGCATTGATTATTCAGTAATTCTAAAGCCTAAGTTTACATCACCGCTCAACCTTATCACTTGGCGGCACTGTCGAATAGGACAATGGGGGGAATTATTGCCACTTCCCGTGTCAAATTAATATTTTAGATGCTTCAGTGCAGGAGATTGCTCGGATTCGTTCAACGGATTCTTTAGAATACTACCACCATATCAGTGTCGTCTTTTATCAACATGAATTTCATTTGTAAGTAAACGTCTTATCAAAATAACAACAGGAGGGATGCATATCTTAATATGCTAGAAAAGCTATCAAACACACATATGCAATGAACTTTAATAATGAAAGCAGAATTATAAAATTGTCAACATTTATTGACTGTATCTCGAAAAAATAAGGACCATAAATTCCATTTCATGTATTGTAGCAAAAAAATAAGAATAAAACCAAATTACGCAGATAATACAAATTACGCAGATAATCCAAAGGAACTTTAGCAACAATAAAAACTTAAGAAAACGCCCAAAATTTTTTGAACTATACCCTCTTTGAGATGATGAAAACAGTTGAGATGAAATATTCTAACGAACTATTTAAGAAAACATTCCATTATGCCTATTTATTTTCGATACCATCCCTTAAAGGAGAAAATTACTTATAGAAAAGATGAGAGTGATTAAATGCAGTAACTTAAAGACAGATTAAAGACAAATTAAAGACAATAAGCTGTCAAGTTTCGTAAATATATACAGTCTTAAGAACTTTCCATGATTTCTGGGCAAGTCAAAAGAGACAACTAACCAAAAAAAGAAAAAACTCAGGCCGCGCAATGCAGGTTAGCGCTACGATAACTTCTAACTGGTTTAATGCCAAACAGATAATGAAGACCAATAAGAGTAATACAGAATAATTTTGAAAATGATAAAACAAAATGTTAGTTTTTTTTAGTCGCTTTAGCATTTAAATTGGCAATTGTATACATACTGTATGCCGGATCACCTGTTATTTCTTTTGAAATAGTCATAAAATCAGGTAATAATGGTTCATTAATATCACCGACTGAAGCCGTTGTGTATGTTTCCAACAACATTAATGGTTTTCCCTCGCATGATGGCGGCAATGGTGAAGTATATATATCCAAATGATAATACTGAAAATTGCATAAAAATAAATTTGGTAAGATTAGTTGAGTAAAGAAATGCAAAATAAATTCGGTAAGATTAGTTGAGTAAAGAAATGCACTTCTCAATGAACACATATTTCAAGTGACAGCTGTATGTGTATATGTGTGATAACATTTGTCTAGGAAAAGTAGAACCAGTAATATTTACATTCAAAAAACACTAAAACCGTTCCGCTGCTTAATAAAAAAAATTTTTCAGCGAAAGCATGAGACCTAGTAGAGCTCAATTTATCAATCTGCACTTTTTAATTCACTCAGTAATATGTTTTTTTTTTTTTGTTGATTTCCTGCCAATCGCAGCGTAATATTCTACCATACAGTGACAGCCTTTACAGCTATAGCTATATGATATGTAATTTTAAAAAAATGCAAAATTAAAATTAAACACAAGAACATGCCTGTTTGCCGTACATGAAGCATCTTCGTTCCTTATTGATCGGTGCTCTCGAACGATCTTCCATTTTAATATAACTGATATATTCTCGGTAATTCAGCTGCATACGAGTTTCCACTGGCTCTGGACCAGTATAGCGTCGCGTTGTTATAGCATATGTTGTGCGGCCACGCTGACTTCGTGAACGTAATCGAACCTTAAGTATAGTTTGTGACTAATAAACTTCATTTATTTTAGGGAAATAAATATTTAATAAGATCACACACTAATCAACACAAGATGTTACCATAATAAGGTCAAAAGGTTAAGGCAAATCCTTCTAAGCTTTTAGAAGATTAGGATTTATATCGATGGAAATATATGCACAAATGTTATCAAGTTCAGAAAAGAGGAAT